ATCCCGAGGGGGCCTCCGGCCCGGGAGGCCCCCGTCTGGGGGGCCTCTCCCCGGGGGGCGCCCGGCTGCCTTCGTGGGGTTCCTGGGGGCCCTCGGCCCAGAGGCCTCCGGGAAGGGGCAGGCCCCTCAAACTGTGGGGGCCCGACAGTCGGTTTTGCACGATGTTTTTCCTCGAAAGGGCGTGGGCCCCGGGAAGGGGCAGGCCCCTCAAACTGGGGGGCCCGACAATGGTTTTGCACGATGTTTTTCCTCAGGGCTTCCTCTCCTCTCAGTAGGTAAGCCTGTCCCAGGTGCTATGTTGGGGGTGGGCCAGCGGTTTTTCTCCTTGAGAAGTCACGCGGTCTAGGTGGGCCGGGGATTACATGTTCCGAGCGGAACGTTGGTTTTTGAAATTCCGATCAATAAAACAAAGGGTAAACAAAACATGTTCGTTTGTTCCGGATGTCTCGAGCGAAACGCTCATTTTGCAGAATTTGTTCTGAATGTCTCGAGCGACGTGCTTGATTTGTTTTAAGTTTCTGGAGGCCAGAATTCAAAGGTTTTGGGTTCCTTTCGCTTCAGGGCGGAGCAAGCGTGAAAACACTCCCTCACGCTTGCTTCGCTTTGGGACGAAATGGGCCCACGTGTTTTCACGCTTGCTGCGCTGTGGGGCGAAAGAGACCCACGTGTTCGCTCGCTTGCGCCGCTCTGGGGCGAAAGGGGCCCGCGTAAGTTCACGCTTGCTGCGTTTTTGGGCAAGAGGAACCCACGTGTTTTCACGATAGCTGCGCTCTGGGGCGAAGGAGCCCAGGTGCTTTCATGTTTTGTTCCGCTCTGGGGCGAAAGGGACCCACGTGTTTTCACGTTTACTTCGCTCCCGCGCGAAAGAGCCCCCCTTTGATTTCACGCTCGCTGCGCTCTGGGTCGAGAGGCGCCCACGTGTTGTCACGCGTCCTGGCCACCCAGGGGCGGTCTCTCCCCCTCCCAGATGTGAGGGCGTGCACAATGGCAGAGGAATCTCAACGAGCTGGCACTACAGTCGGGGCCCTGCCCTTTTCGTTGGGGAGGGGCTGCGCGTTTCTTGAGTGTTTCACAGCTTGCCTCAGGCTTTCCTCATGTCAACTTCTGGAAAACAGGGGCCTCGTTTCTTATTTAGGGTTCCTTAGGTCACCGCCCCGACTGTAGATGCAGAACCACTTGGCACGCTCCTCCTCCTCCTCCTCCTCCTCCTCCTCCCCTGGGGCCTCAGGCTTCGGGAGGGGATCGACGTGTTTCCTCACGCCTGTTGCACTCCGGGGCGAACGGGGCCCCCCGTGGCTTCACGCCTGCTCCGCCCTGGAGCGAAGCGTGCCCCCGTGACTTCACGCCTGCTGCGCTCGGGGGCGCAAGACACCCGCGTGTTTTCACGCTCCTTCCGCTCTGGGGCGAAAAAGGGGCCCGCGTGTTCTCACGCTGGCGCCGCTCTGGAGCGAAAAAGGGGCCCACGCGATTTCCCGCTTGCCCCGCTCTGGGGCGAAACGGGACCCGCGCGTTTTCGTGCCTGCGGCGCTCGGGGGCGATGCCCTTGGCGCGAAGGGGGCCCACGTGATCTCCCGCTTGCTGCGCCCTGGGTCGAGACGAACCCACGTAGCGTCACGCGTCCCGGCCACCTAGGGGCGGCCAGCTTGCTCGGGCCTGGCTACCTGACCGCGGTGGAAGCTAGCGCCGCTACTCTACGAGCTGTGCGCGCTGAAGCTGGAGACGGATGGGGTGACCTCATCAACGACCTTCTCGGCCAGGTGGCGCCTGACCCCCCGCCGCGGCCAGACCCAGAAGGCGGGGCACCGCTCGTACCTGGGCTGCCTGCTGGAGTTGCTGGGGCTGGTGCCTGCCCAAGCCTCGTACCTCCGCGGCAAGGTGTGTCGACGGCTCCTCATGGTGGGCTGGCGGATGCTGCCCTTAATGACGCTACTCCCCCGAGTGGCGCGCCTCGAGGAGCTACGGGACCCACACCCACTGCCGCTGGTGCGAAGCCTGCTCAGATCGCCAAGGCGATCCGTATTGCGCCCAAGGAGTGTGGATACCTCGCCTCGGTCATCGTGGATGGCCAGTGGTCACAGCGCCGCAAGTACCTGGGCGGCTACGCCTCTGACGACAAGTGCTTGCTGTGCGGCGACGTTGGCACGCTGCTGCACAGGCACACGTGCTGCGGTGGATGGCCGTCCGAGCTGCGGCTGCCCAGCAAGATCCGTGAGATGGCGGGCAAGGCTGAGCTCGTGGAGGTGGAGTGCCTGCTGGAGCGCGTGCTGTGGCCTGCGCCCCGCGGCATCATCAAGCCGCCACGGCCTCCTGAGCTCAACTGGCTGGGCCAAGACGTAGGCGGCATGTTGCCGTCGGGCGACGTGTACCTGGACGGCTCCGCCTACGAGGGCGACTTCCAGCAGTACACAAGCGTCGGCTGGGCTGCGGTGGTGCTGCAGGAGGACGCGGACGCCTTCCGCGCTGGCATCTCGGGCACGCTGTGCGAGGCCTTCGCCGACATCAACGGCGGCGAGCTGGCCGCGCTCATCGGCACGCTGCGGCATGCCGTGCCGCCCGTCAGGGCCATCGTCGACTCCGACTTCGTGTTCGAGGGTGTGATGGAGCACGGGCCGCTGGTCACCACGCGCTGGGGCTACGCTTGGGCCCACCTCTGGCGCGAGCTCTGGCGGCTTGTCGAGGACTTTGGGGGGATTGGGCCGCATGGCCTGACCCTCAAAAAGGTCCCTGCACATGTCCCGCGACGCCGAGTGACCGACGACGGAGTCATCACCGCTCGTGACTGGATAGGCAACTGCATCGCTGACCAGGCCGCGAAGTGCGCGGCCGAGCGCGCGAGGATTGCGCCCGAGGACCGTCAACGCCTGCAGTCGGCACGGGAGCTGGTCGAAGGCGTGGCCATGTGGGTCTCAGCTGTTGGGGCTGCTGTGGGCGGGGACGACACCACCCACCGCGCGGCGAAGCCCAGCAAGGCGGCCCCGCGAGCAGCGTTGCAGCCAGTAACTGCCAAGCTAGGCTGCGACCTCCGTGGGCCGCCTGGTGCGAGATGGTGCAGCAGATGCCGCTGGCTGGAGCGTGCCAGCGAATGCCCAGGCTCGATTGTGACGTCCGCCCTGGACCACAACAGGAAGCTGAGGGCCCAGGGCGCGCTGGCGCACGTGATCGTGAAGATCGAGCCGCAGGTCGAGGCCCAGCTGCAACGGGAGATGCCGCTGCTGGCCTGCCTCGTCTGCGGAGCCACAGGTGCGGCGAGGAGCTCTTCCTTCGCCCGTGCCTGCGGCGAGCCTGGAGCCAAGGGCAAGCTGGCGATTGCGCGGCTCGCCAAGGGCTTCGCGCCAGGCGCCCCAGGCCACGTGGCCATCAAGATCGTGCAGCTCAACGACCACAGCTTCGTGGACGACGGCGCGGAGCGCGGCGGCGGTGGCCTGGGCGGGCAGCCGCCCTGAGGCGCGCGCGGGGGGAGGAGGCCCCACATCCCCGCGTGCGCCTTGGCGTCGCCGCGGTGCACCTCGGCGAGTCCGCAGCGGGTCATCTGACCCGTGCCCGAGCGCGCGGGGCGCGCTCGGGCGCCAGCGCGGCCGAACGCCCGCGCTGAAGCGAGCGCAACCCTCGCGAATGTGCGGGAGGGCACGGACGCAGAGCAGATTCACGCTTCCGCCTCCGCCTTCTCCTCCTCCTCCTCCTCCGCCTCCTCCTCACGAGTCGGTACCAGATGCGTAATCGCTGGGCGCGTTCCGTCCTGTGGCTCCGAGGCCGCCTGGGGCTTCCTGGAGGGACCAACGCGTTTTCACACTTACTGCGTTCTTGTTTCCACGCTCTCACGTGTTCCATGGGTCCTAGATGGTGCTGATGACGTTGGTGATGATGGTGATGGTGACGCTGATGATGCTGCTGATGGTGCTGATGATGGCTATGGTGGTGGTGCTGCGGATGATAACGACGCTGAGGATGACCCGGATGATGCTGATCATGCTGGTGGTGGTGTTGATGTTGATGTAACAACGTTGATGTTGGTGATGATGCTAATGATGGTGGGGATGGTGGTGGTGATGGTGATGGGGGTGATGATGATGGTGCTGCCGATTATGATGATGTGATGAAGTTGACGCTGACGCTGACGTTTACGATGGTATGACGATGATGCTGATGATGACGATGATGACTATGCTGATGATGATGATGATGGCGATACTGATGATTATGGTCGTGATGGAGATGGCGATGGTGATTGTTATGATGGTGATGCTGATGCGGATGACAGAGCTGATGATGCTGACGACGTTGTTGATGTTGCTAATAATAATGATGATGATGCTGATGATGATGCTGATGATGCTGCTGCTGATGATGGTGATTGTGATGATGATGCTGATGATGTTGATGATGATCGTGATGATGATGATACCGATCGTGATGGTGATGATGGTGATGATGCTGATGGTGATGTCGATTATGATTGTGATGATGGTGGTGATGATAATCATGATGAAGATGGTGATGATAATACTGATGCTGATGATAATGCGGATGCTGATCATGATGATGACGATGCTGCTGCTGCTGATGGTGATGATGATAATGATGCTGATGAGGATGATGGTGCTGATGATGATTTTGATGATGATGTTGATGATGATGATGCTGATGCTGATGATGATGATGGTGATGATGATGATGACGATGATGATGATGATGGTGCTGATGATGATGATGATGATGATGATGATGACGATGATGATGATGATGATGATGATGATGATGATGATGGGCATGTTGATGAAGGCGATCGCGCTCTCCAAAAGTGATCCGTCGCAATATCGCAAACGCTCACCGCCACAGGCTGCACAGACCGATGCCCCTCCCACGCGCCCGCGGGCACGCTGTGCCGGCGAGGACAGGGCACCTCTGCAAATTTCTCTCAGTGTTACAGGCAAGGGATATGGATGGCGTGCGCGCGCGCCCGCACAGCAGCCCGATAGGCGACCCGTAGGCCCCCCTGGCCTTCACTCAAGCGTGTCATTGTGGGACCAAGCCGATGCGAGCGCCTCCCCAATCTCGAAACGCTCCTGCTCGGCCTCCTGCTCGTCTGCGTCGTCGTCGGCTTCTGCCAACGCCCGCTGGACCTCCACGTACAGGGTCTCCAATTGCGAGATGCGGTATATGACCATGCCGCGCTTGGCCGCGCGGGCGCCATCCCACTTCATGGTGGTCTCGATGCCCTGCGTGGCATCCACCTGGCGCTCCCAGAGGTCGACCACGCAAGTTTGCAGGGGGGGTGGCGTGTCGGAGCCGCCGTCCGCCTCCGCAGCTGCCGCCGCCGCCGTCAGCTCCCCCTTGTGCATCGCCTCCACGCCGTGCTCCTCCTCGTGTTCGATCGTGCCCACGAGCGCGTCCTCGGGCCGCAAAGTAGGGAGCAGGAGTGTCCCGAGCCACGGGCCCTGGATCGAATGTCATGCCAGCCGCGCCCTGCTTCTCCGCGAACTCGTGCGTCGCGATCGTGCCATTCTCGCTGAGCTCCTTATCGAGCGAGGGGAAGGGCGGCACCGCCAGCAAGGGGTTCGTCGCGCAACTCTTCTCCGCCTCGCCGTGGCCGTCCAGCTCCGTCCCGTTCTCGCCGTCGTGCACCGCGTCGTTCACCCCGCCGGCGGCGAGGCTAACCGCCGACAGCGCGGGGCGCGCCACAAGCCTGGGCCCCTGCTGGGCTCGGCGTAGCGAGCGCGTCGTCGCCGTCCCCAGTGGCCAGGGCGCCAACGCTGCGTGGAGCGCAACGTTCCTCCGCAGCGTGTCGACGGGTGACTCGATGGCCTTGCCGTGCACCATGTCCTTCAAGTGCACCGCCACCACCGCCAGGCGCTCCGCCGTGTCGGGGTCCCCCAGCGACCTCACCAAATTCTAGACGCTTCACGTATCCCCACCAGTTTTCACCTCCCGCCGCTGGCGCTTCCGCCTGCGGCTGTAAAAATATATATCCCCACCAGCCCGTCCAGAAACGACGCCCAGGCGAGTAGAGGGTCGTCCTGAGGGGCTTTTCGGGGTCTTGGGTGCCTCGGGGGGGCCTCTGTGGGCCGTTCGGGATCCTCTTTGGGGCCTCCTGGGGGGGCCTCTTGGGGCCTCTTGGGGCCATCTTGGGGCCTTTGGGGGCCTCCTGGGCGCTTCTTGGGGCCATCTTTGCCCCCTCAGGAGGCCAACATGGTGCCTCTGGGAGCACCTTGGATGCCTCTGGGGGGTCTCTTGGGGCCTCTTGGGGGTCTCTTGGGGGCCTCCTGGGGCCTCTTGGGGGGCCTCTTGGGGCCATCTTGGGGCCATCCTGCGGCCTCTTGGGGCATCCTGGGGGCATCTTGCGGCCATCGTGGAGGAAATCGATCAAAGAAGAGGGGAGCTCTAATTAGCGCTGCCCCCTCAGAAGGCCAACATGGGGCCAAAACCCTAGTAAAATCAATGATTTTGGCTTCCTCGCCGAGGCCGTTTTGGACGCTCTGACTGCTCCCCGCCCCTCCTGTCCAGGTCAGTGGGGAGGGGGTAGGGGGAGGGGTAAACCCCTCCCCGAAGGGGAAGAGGGAGGGGTGGAAGAGGAAACGCCCTAAACCACCGACGCCCAGAGGGCGGGTGGGATTTTCGTAGCGGCCCCGCCAGAAGCGCACGGCCCGCTGAAGGTCGTGGACGAGCACGTCCCCCGACAAACGGGCCCACGCCTGGCCAGCTCGGCGCCTCTGCCGCCGTGCCGCGCTCGGGCTGCACATCACAGTCGCCAGCGGCGGCCTCCCGCGAGGGGGGCGCCTCCCGCGCCATCACACACCGCACCAGCTGCCCGATGGAAGCTGGCCCGAAGGCTTGAGCCAACATGGCTAAGGTTGATGATGATGCTGATGGTGATGGTGATGGTGATGGTGATGGTGATGGTGATTCTGATGATGCTGATGGGGATGCTGCTGATGATGATGATGCTGATGTTGACCATGATCACGATCGTGATGATGACAATGATGCTGATGATGACAATGCTTATGGCGATGACGACGAAGATGTCGATGGCGATGGCGATGATGATGCTGCTGCTGGTGATGATGATGAAGCTGCTGATGATGATGAGGATGATGATATGGTGGTGGCGGTGGCGGCGATGACGGAGCTGATGTTGCTGATGCTGCTGCTGCTGATGATGATGCTGATGCTGATGATGCTGATTATGATGATGGTGCGGCTGCTGATGATGATGTTGATAATGATGGTGGTGGTGATGATGCTGATGATGCTGCTTATGATGATGGGGATGCTGATGCTGATGATGATAATGCTGCTGCTGATAATGATGATAATCATGATGATGATACTGATGATGCTGATGCTGTGTATGCTGCTGCTGCGGCTGCTACTGATGAGGATGATGATGCTGCTGCTGCTGATGATGATGATGATGCTGAGGATGATGATGTTGTTGTTGTTGGTGACGATGATGATGATGATGATGATGATGATGATGATGATGATGCTGATGCTGATGATGATGATGATGATGATGATGATGATGATGCTGCTGCTGCTGATGATGATGATGATGATGATGATGATGATGATGGTGATGGGGATGGTGATGTTGTTGGTGATGGTGGATGGTGATGGTGATGGTGATGTGATGGTGATAGGTGATGGTGATTGGTGAGAGAGGAGGAGGGGGAGGAGCGAGGAAGGAGGAGCAGGCGGAGGAGGAGGATGAGGAGGAGGAGGAGGAGAAAGAAGCAGGAGAAGCAGGAGGAAGAGGTGGAGAGGAGGAGGAAGCAGGAGGAGATGGAGGAGGCGGAGGAGGAGGGAGGAGGAGGCGAGGAGGAGGAGGAGGAGCGAGGAGGAGGAGGAGGAGAGGAGGGGAGTGAGGAGGAGGATATAGAGAAGAAGGAAGAGGAAGCAATGACGAGGAGGTGGAGGAGGGAGGAAGATGGGGGAGGCGGAGCAAAAGACGGTCGAGTAGGAGGGCGAGCGATGTGTGTTGGGGGGCCTCGCAGTCCTTCCCCCTCCTCCTCCCTCCTCCTCTCCTCCTCCCCCTCTACCCGCCCCCTCCCTCCTCCACCCCCCCTTCAGCCCCGATGACGCCGACGACGCCAGCGACGTCGTCGACGCCGCCCACCGACCGACGCCCACGACGCGGCCAACGACGCCTGGGCCCCGACGGCGCCTTGGCCGCCCCGCCGCCCTCCGCGGCCCCGAGGCGCGGGCGCGCGCCCGCCGCGCGCCTGCCTCGCCCGAGCATCTGCACCCCAGCCGCGGCCATGAGCGGCGGCGGGGCCGACGGCGTCGCGGTGGCGACCAGGCTGCCGGCCTCGCCGTGGTCGTCGCCGTCGCCGTGGCCGCCGCCGCGTCGTCGTCGTCGTCGTCGTCGTCGGCGTCGGCGTCGGCGTCGGCGTCGGCGTCGGCGTCGGCGTCGGCGGCGTGGGCGTGGGCGTGGGCGTCGGCGTCGTCGTCTCCTCATCCTTCTCCCGGTCTGTTTGTCCTCCTCCGTCCCTCGCCGTCGTCGTCGTCGTCGTCCTCCTCCTCCTCCTCCTCCTCCTCTTCCTCCTACCTCGTCTGCTAGGTCGGCGGACTCTGCTCCATCGGATTCCTTAGCTTCTTGGGAGCCGGAACAAAGAGGTTTCTAGGCATCCCATGACATTCATACAAACAGCCAACGCGCAAAGACAATTAA